TAACAAACCTCCTAAAATAGTAACGAGTCTATAGTATATTGCAATGAATACGTAACAGAAATGACTTTTTTCTCTAATGTACTATAAAGAAACTTAGAGATGACAGAGAGAAAGGCAGGCCAAAAAGCTGAATCCTAACACCAAACTGTGTCACACATATATGCCGCCAAGACCTTAGGGATGTTAGCCCTGGAGAATATCGGCCACAAATAGAGCAATTAGATGAAGCAATGTCTCATACGATATTTTGGTTGTATGTAATTTCTTCTAAAGGTTGGGGAAAATTTTCATCATTGACTTTAATCTATCAATCTTTTTAAAATGTTAAAACAGGTTTAATATATTTGGTCTTTAAATACCTACAAAATACAGAAATGTACAAAAGAAAAATCAGCTATTGGGCAACAATCCAGAGAGAATTACTGTTGTTCTATTTCTAAATTTCCTCCTCTATGTGAAGATATATTTATCACTATGTATCTTGATATAAAATTTATGCAATAAGTGTATTATAGTTCTATTGTTTATCTTTTTTAACATTCTATTGGGAACTTCGTTTTCTATGAAAACCACTGATTTCCTTAAAATTATACGATTTGCATAGTTGCACTCTTCGAAATATGAGCACGGTGCTACTCAATGCTTATGTTTATTACTGAGTTTGAAAAAATAATATATATTATTTAAGTAGCTGCCATATCTTGATACAAAAATCTCTCAATCTCAGTTACCTGATTTAATAGAATAGATGTCAGCAAACTTTTACTGTAAAGAGTCATATTGTAAATATTTTAGGCTTTGTGGGCCATTTATACTTAATCTCAACTATTCAATTATGTATGTCATAGCATGAATGCAGTCATAGGCAATACATAAATCAATGGGCATGGCTCCGTTCCAATATTTTATGTATAAAAACACAATAGACCAGAATTGATTTGTGGCTTATAGTTGGTTGACTCATGAAATAGAAATTTATTCCTTAATTGTGCAAGGTTCAAAATTATTTCCAGATCAGTGGGCAGATGTCCTTTGAATAGTAAATCAGGAACCTAGTAGCAATACAGGAACCAGGCTTATAATAATGTGATTATTATAATGTAATTATAGTATAGTTGGAGAAACAATAGTTTGCTTTAAAAGATATTGCATTTTTCTGCATCATCACTAAGCATTAATTTTTTGTTTGTTTCTTTTGTTTAGTTTTTTACTTTAAGCTTTTGTCAAGAGTATTAGGGGGTACTCTTCAAAAGTAGAGATCATTGAATAATGTCCAAGGTATTTCCTGATTGGCAGAATCATAAGACTTTGAAATTTGGGCCAAACTATAATGTTAAATATATTACAGATATAAGAAAGAAACACAAATGACTTTTTAAGCAAAGAAAATAGTCTGAGCCAAGGTAGGAATTTGGATGTTCATGTTTCTATCAATTAGAAATAAGGTTTTACATAGCAGTATGAGATAAGGTTGGGATTAAGGAAGCCTAACTGTGTAAGCAATGCAGATGGAACAGTGTTGGTTGTTGAAGCCTGCAACAGGGTTCCAGGACAAGTGTGGAATAATGAAGAGGTTGTGGTTGTAAAAAAGCATAGGTATTGTGAATGTAATTGATTTAGTTCTAACTTTATAACCATAGAATTCAATTTGGTTACATTAATAGTTTATATAGACAGAAAGAGGTAAGTTCCATTATCATTTTAGTTTGGAAGGGAGCATTATATTTCTGAAAGCATCTCATTACAGGTAAGCCTATTTTTTCCAATAACTAATGATAATTGTATAGGTACCTTGCAATGTCAAGTAATCAACAGTGATATTATATATGAAAATTAGAGCATCCAGCATCTAATAAACCAGTCGAGAGTCTGAAGATGTCTGTAATGCAGAAGAAAGACCAAGAGGGAGCTCTACTAATGTCTTCAAATATTTCAAGGCTAAATGTGAAAGGCTGGTCTTGTTTTCCCTGTCTTCAAGAGTAATAATAAATTCCATTATTTTAAAAACCACAGGAAAAACATTTTCAGAACAATAAAAAGAAAGGGTTTTCTGTCCATAGTGTTCAAAAACAAAATTGGAGAAATGACTCTTACAGTCCCTGAGTTGCTCAGTTTCACTAATTGGTTATAAGAGGGGCTATAAAGATTACACTTCAATTTAAGTGAAAGGAAGGGGGTGACTCTTGAGGACAAACGCAGAAACGATAAAACTCCACAATGTCTCTCTGCATTTTTCATATTCTGTGACTCATCTTGATATTTGTATAGAGCATTCAAAAAGCT